GTTGGGATATTTTTTTTATATATGGCAAAAGTTGGGGCATTTTTTTTATTCTCTCTTTGAAAAAATTAGGGTGTTCAATCTTACGTTTATGACGATTTTCACCAATTAAACATGGGAAAATTATATGTGTTTAGTTGTGATGTACAGTACGGTGGACCACAATGTATTGATATCGCTAGCAGCACCAGATGGATCTATTGACTGCGCTACCGATTTCTTTTGTCGCCTTTGACAAGTTGGCAACGGCTGCCGCGGTGGGCCTCCATACTAAGACGAATGAACTCTCGCGTGTATTTGCGGTCGGCCTTGATGGGACCTTCGAGTGAGATATTGAAAGAAGGCAGGTCACAAATCCTTTCTCGAGCGCTCGCATACTTGTTGATGGTCCACGGCGGCGCGTCTATGCGGTCTAGTGCGCGAGGCTCATTCTATGAGGTAAGTTGCACACAACGAGCGATACCGTTAGGAGGTCGGGCGGAAAAAGACCAATCGCGCTACCGTACGGATCGCAAGGGGTGTGGCTTGTCCTGAAATGGTTGTCCATCGTACACGATTTTGCGCTGGATGGAGACCTTGGCTTCGATTACATTGGTGGGCTTGAATATACTTGGCTATAATCACCAGTGTAAATCAGTCCACCATCACGAAGATTAAAATGACCTGACTTTCTTCAAAAGAACTAACCGTGTTGTTTTGGGCCTTGTACCGGTTAGACCGACTGACTTCGTGCACAGTGCCTACAGCATCAGCCACACGCCGCTCTTGGCAAGTTTTGGTGTGTTTACACAAAAAAGCGGACCGAAACATTGTCAGCGGTGGTGCGATGTCAAAAATTTCCTTTAACTGACAAATGCACAGTATGGATGAAGCAGACATGAATATAGCGCAGTCATGAAGTAAATGCGAATAATAGACTTAAAATAGCAGACCGAGTCTGACGGAAGAAGGCGGCCCGAGGTAACGTTGGGTCTGGATTTTAAGCCTTTCGATGATAAGCGCTCGGTAACAGGGGGCTGCAGCTCTCGTTCTACAAAGATGTTATTGCCGCCGGGTTGTCTGGCGCCGATAGGTGGTAGCAAAGAATCTACACTGTCCCCAAAAGCATCTTTGTGCAGGCGCTTCTCACGTCTAGATGTCATGCTTCCTTTTGGCTGACTGGTATCTGCAGGATCTACTACGTCATGAATTTTCGTGCTCCCAAAATAGATCAAATTTGTTTAGTTTCATTGGTCACAGTAAAATGCTCTGCGTGTCCTGTTGTAGAGCTGCTGCGAGCGATTCCAAGCGATCGACGATCAGAAGAAAAGCCGCAGCGATGGTGATGGTGCGAATATCCTACTTAGCGATTTTACCCCTTCTGAAAAAAGATCCGAGATCCACTCTAGTTGAAGACTAACTCGACACAGCAATGCCATGTGTGGGGTAGGTAAAACCCACTGCCCCGATTAGATTTATTTCCTACTGCGTCTGCCTAGAAACTGTTTAAAAAGTGGGTAGCGCGGCTGGCTATGCAAGGGATGCGATACTGAATTCTCGACAAGATACTCCAGTTCTCTACGTCTTTTCGGATCAGCCAATCGACGGCGTGTGTGGCCAATCTTTCTCATACCCCATCTCACAGCCTGTCTCTGGCGCCTAGTCTACAATTATGTAATCTAGCTATGGAAAGTAGCAGAGCTTCTGCACTGCAGCTGGCTCCAAACCTTGGCCTTCGCTCACCCTTGAGCTCGTAGTGCAGCTCATCTGGCAATTTTTCACCTCCCTGCACCAGCTGCTGATTTCAATCCACTTGCGATAAAAACCGCACAGGCGTTATGTTTGATGGGAAGACACCTCCTTTTACACATACTCATTTTCTGCCGATCTATATTCCAAGCTTGTTGATCAATAATGCCAACAATATAGCCGTAAGCAAATGTGCGACAAGATGCCAAGTTGGTACCGTAAAGCCCAGCCAATAGTTTCTACAATAGGCAGATCTACTTCCTACCTTTGTGCGATCTTCTTCTTACGATGCCGCGACATGCCCGCCATTGATGTTGCCAACGCTTCTAGCCGGCCCGACTCTGCCGTCGTTAGGCTTCTGCCCTAACCACTAAAGTAGCTGAATCACCGCAAAAGTGACTTGAAAATTCTATTGAGGCCAGCGCAAGAGGTGAGCCATGGCACCTCTAAACGCTGATCTTGTTTCTCCGCCCAGACCACACAAAGCGCAAAAAGCACCGATACTGCACGGCGAAAAGAAGTTTGATCAGCTCAGACTACGAGACTCAGGTAAGCTCTCGAATGCAACGTATGGTATACACGCGTCGCACCGCGTACCAGCTGGATGCGGTTGGGTTTGACGGACTGGACTCATCCATTCATCGATCCCGGTTGCCACCACCACATCCATACTCTATCTTCCACCTGAAAGATCCTCGTTCTCAATCCATTTTTACTTGTTGCAGCAGACTCATCATTCGACCGTTCTTCTGGCGTTTCACACGGCGTTCTACCGACTTAGCCACCGTTAGTGACACGCTCAACAACATCCGTGGTATATTTAGTCCAACAGCCTCACGCACTTACCGGCTAAAATGGACCACGTCAAGCGAGAATCATACAGCAATGACAACTTCAGGCGAGGTGATTACGTCATGCCACTTAAAAAGGTGCGCGCCCACCACCACGCCACGACTCAATTTAAAACACTACATTCACTAAACGCTACTTCTCATCGATTTCTTCAGGAGTCTGAATCTTGGCGTGGCTCCTCCGGCTTCGGCCTTGCCAATATTCTCAACCGCAGCTGCACTAGCACCGCTCCCACGAGCACAATGCCAAAGCTTAATCTGCCATCGTTTCCCCATTTTGGCAAGACCTCTGTCTCGAATTCCGAAATGTCGTTGCGCTATGAAAACGACAGTCGTTATGTCTCTGGTCGCTTCTTACATGAGCAACGTAGTGCTGACTCGTCGCCAGCTCAACAGCCCCCCCCTTCTCCCAGCCCCCGTCGATTTGCATTGGTATCTGTAGATGACGAGGATCCAGAGCAGGAGATGGAAAACACGGCATCTGGTGCCCATGATAGCACTATCAACTACTCAATTCGTGGTGGTCGATGGAGTGCGGACGAGCACGAACGATTTTTAGAGGGATTTCGCATCCATGGTCACAAGTGGAAGCGCGTGCAACAAGTGGTGTGCACACGTTCGGTGACTCAAGTGCGCACTCATGCTCAAAAGTATTTACTCAAGGTAGCCAAACTGAAAGCTGAGAAGAAACAGAGCGGGAAGAATGCCGATATGGCTACACTGGCTTCCGAGTCACATAAACGGTCCATGAAAGGAGAGACTGCCGATGGCCTTAATTCTGCATTTATGACGCCAGAGCTCTGTGCCGCTCATGACAGTCCTCTTAAGACCCCGATGAAGAAAGTGCGATATTTGGATCATGGCAAGTGTGATCCCGTTGATCAACAATACATTGCTGATGCTGCCACGACCTTGTGCTTTCTTATGAGTCAGAAGATCGACTCTTTGTTTGAATCGAGACATGATTTACAGCTGGACGGGCACAAATCGGACTATGAGCCCTACGATTGTTATGCATCAAAGACAACAAAAAGCTCAGATATTATTCGCAGTGAGCCCCGCAAGCGATCGTATATGCACTTCATCACAGATGAGCAGGATGACTACTCCTCCTATTCACGGCGATCCATCGACGTACACAATCAAAGGCAGTAGATTGTGCTCATAGACAACAAGTGCGCCACATAAGTGTATCTGTTCATTTTCAGGACACTGCATTAATCTGTGGTGTATCTTTCAAGCTCTCTCGTCGCCAATGGAAGTGAGTGCGGGTGTCTTTTTGTCGCTTGCTTGAATGTGTAATTCTTATGTACTTCAAGGCATTCTTGTTCGCGCATGGTGAGAGGTATGGCCAGGTAGAGTAGGAAGGTTTGCTAAACGGGAGCGCGCCCTAGACTTTGTAAGTTAGTTACTATATTATATAGAACGCAGACTCCTCCAAGTAGTACATGTCTAGCTCAATTTATGCGAAAAGTTATACATTCTTTAGAAGCACTTGAATTTCAAGAGTATTCAGATCGATCTAATTCAATCGCTCTGGCTCGAAGGCTCAAATGCTTAAAGCACGAGATAACTTGCAGTTTGTCAACTCCCACTTCATGAGCTGCTTCTTCATCATGCTTGCGCAGCACCTGATTTTGTAGGTTCAAAAGTTCTTGGAGGTCCTGACGATCACATTCCATCTCTTCCGTCTCAACGCCTCCATTATGTTCGACAGCCTTGTCAAAACCCAAAGCAAAGTAACGAAGGATGAGTTGAATTCACAACACTTGTCAGCCCTTTGCCGTACC